AATGACAAGGAGTTCTCCTCCAAGGGTAAATACAAAGAAAGGTAAGCAGCATTGTCCCTGCCCCCCAAAACCTCATATGCCATGATAGACACCCCAAAAAAAGATACTGAATACAGTAAGAAGAATTTGGGTTAAATTGCCATTGCCTCTTGAGCATCTTCTGATTGATGTGAAGAGTTATTAGATAGACATATTTGGAGGAAGATAAGAGGAAAGAAGGAATGAAGGTCAAAAAAATTGTAGAATCTCTTTCCCTGGAGAAAAACAATTTAAGTCCTAACAATACTATCTGTCATCAATGGGTAGACAATGATCAGAACCTGAAAGGCTGCTTTATGTCAGCTTTCTGGTCCATCCTATCCCAAATTGGAGGCACCACAGGGGCATGGGAGTCAGGGAAGGTACACTCGTCTTCCTTTACATTAGCCTCAACTATCAAGCAAGCATTCAAACACTCTTATTTCTCTCAATGACGCATTCTGAATCGGCCAAACCAGAAATTTACCTAAACATTCTAAAATCTGTTTATAATGTTATCCTGAAGCACTTTTTTTTCTTCATGGTCAGGATATCCCTCTCTCATCAGGGCTTCAGCGGCCACTCATGAACCAATCAAATTAGTCGTCGGTAAGGAAGCTTTAATATATTTCCTTTTTCCGTCCAGGTCCAGTCCTCTGCTTTGAGGGAGCTCTCCAATAATTAGTTCCAAATGATGCTGACAGTCTATCAATTTTAGCCCAATGGCAACTCAGCACCCCTGAACTTTAGAGAGCCACCAGCCTTCTGTAGTTGAGATTACACTCATGTGCCACCACTGTCCTAAGTTTGTCTCTCTCAAGTTCAGTGGGGTCCCCACCACTACCACCAGGGTTTCTGGAGTAGGGTCGTTCTTCACGATTTTATAGGTTTTGACAGATCCCTTCTCAATCCTGCCTTCAGGCAGGTGGATGAATGTGCTAATGCTCTGAGGTCCTTCCAAGTAAAGATTTCTAAGGATACTAATCAGAGCACCTCCCCTGAGAACAGAACAATTGGCTCAGTGACTAGAGTGCTGGACCTAGCATCAGGAAGACCTGAGTTCAAATCTGACCTCAGAAACTTCCTAGCTATGAGACACCCCCGAGGAAATCGCTTAACTTTTGTCTGACTCAGTTTTCCCATCTTTAGGATGGGGATAAAAATAACATCTACCTTCCAGAGTTGCTGGGAGGATATTTGTAAAGTACTTAAAGCACTATATAAATGCAAGTTTATATAGATCATTATAGAGATTGGGTTGTTTCCTAAACCTAGAGACCATCTGGCATGGCCATGAGCCTGTGGGCCTGTGAACCCCTCTCTCCATAGCTCTCCTTCCCCTGACCCCTCCCCATCCTCTCCTGTTTCCATGTCCTTGATACTCAAGGGCAAAAATTGGTTCTTATCTTCCTTTTGTTTTCCTCTGATCTCACTAGCAACACACACACAACACACACACACACACATACACACACACACACACGAGAGAATGAAATGGGAAGCAAGGTCATGCATTAGCTGGCTTTTATATATGAAGAAGAATTTTCAAGGTAACACAAAGAAGCTTGGCCAACCCACCTTATCAATGAAAGAGGCGAACTTGTTATTGAGAGCCTTGATCTGCTCCCGCTCCTGGGCCCTCACTTTCTGGATCTCAGGGTCCAGCTCCACATTGAGGGGAGCCAAGAGGCTCTTGTTGATGGTGACTTGGTGGATGCCTCCTGGTGGGCATCCCGGTGGGCACACAGGACCCAGGGAGACACTGCCAAAGATGCTCCCAGCAAAGCCGCTGGCCCGACCCCGAGCAAAACCATAGCCCCCACTCCGCCCACTCCCACCAGCCACACTGAGAGAGATGCTTCTAGTCCCTCTCAGGCTATAGAGACTCCGACTGCTGAAACCACCCTGGGGTCCTTTGCCCCCTGCCCAGTAGGAAGATGAGCTGCTGGGACCCCCAGAGAGCACCGCTGAGCAGCCACTGAAGCCTCCCTTAGTGGGGGCTCCTGACTTGTACGTGAATTGACGGCTCATGTTGCTGGTGGAGAAGGTGGTACTTAGACCTGAGCAGAGATGAATGAAGTCCTTTGGGGAGTGATTTAACATTTCCCCTTTATAGAGCTCAGAAGAGGATCCACTTCCTTAATTTGGGGGTTTGGTTTGCCTTCAAGCAAGAAGTCATTTTCTCCCAACAAAATCAGAGACACCAAGTAAATAATATGAACTCCCCCCCTAAAAAAAAATGCTTGGCTTGCAAGCTTTGCTTGTGTAATTTGGATTTTATCTAATTAAGTGACTGCCATGGGGCAATTAGCCCAGGCCGAGTTATCTCTAGAAGGATCTGGGCTGTTCTTGGCCCCAGCTGTTCTTCAATAGGGGCTGCTGAGAAGGGATGGGGGAGGGCAGAGTCAGCTGAAGGGGGTGTGAAAAAGAGACTCTTAATCTACAATGTCATTGATAAGAGATCTCTGGACTGGCTGGCTGGATCAGATGGGCTAGTGTAGGATCCTTGGGTGTATTTCTTTAATGTGGTTAGGACATGTATCTCCACGCTTGTCTTCTTGAGAGCTCCAGAAACTTTTCTCATGGTTTTATAGAATGCTGGAATCTCCAAGTTGGAAAGGATTTGGGAGGGCATCTAGTCCTCCTGTCACCAAAAGAATAAAACCCATGCCAGGCAAGCATTCCCCCGACCTCTGCATGAATACCTCCAGGTTAACAAAGACCATACAAACATGCCCCCAAATCACATGAAATTAAGGGAAAATATTTTATAATGGGAAGTTGAGAAGAAGTGGGTAAAAACACTAGACTTGAAGTTGGGCACACCCAGGTGTAGGCTAGTCACTTAATCTTTTCAAACCTCAGTCTCCTCATTCATAAAGTGGAAATAACAATTGCACATACCTCATATGATCGTTGTTATGATCAAATAGGAAAAAAAAGTATATGTACAGGCCTATGTAAACTACAGTGAATTCTACAGCATTTTTGGACAGCTAGAAAGCTTTACAATGGGGTTTCCAGGAAGTTATGGCGAATTTTGGTTATAATGTATTGATTAATTGATTGCTAATATTTTAAGGACCTTATTGCAAAACATCAACCAGAGACTATGCCTTTAAAGTCAAACTCTTGAGTCCTGGGTTGCAAGGTTCCTCTGTTAACTGTCTACCTCATTCTTTACCCCTCCCTACCAAACACACACACACACACACACACACACACACACACACACACATACACACACACACACATCTCGTTTCTCAGGGTACCCTTCACCTAGCAAGCTAGTTTGCTTAACATTTGACTTACTTATTTCTGCCCTACAAACTCCAGGCTATATACAAAGCAACTCTCTCACCTAAAATGACCTTCTTTTTTCTTTTCCTCTTTACAAACTCTGTGCTAAGTAGCTTCCCCTAGGCAGTCTTCCTTGATGAGCCCCACCCAGAGAGAGGCACTCACTCCATTCTTGCCATCACATCTCCCCATCCCATTCTCCTCCATACTTAAGGCTTTGCTTATCAGCAGTATCAATTTCTACTGGTTTGGGGATACTCTGTCCCTAGATGTGGCCCAGGACTAGGCCTTCTTTGTATGGTGAGTAGGATTAATAAGTGGAGAGAAGGCCAATCAGTATGACAAGGGGCAAAATGGGGGTAAGGACAAAGAAAAAAACTGACCTCTGTGGTTAAATCATATAATCACAGAAGGCCAGAGCCAGAAGGCACCTTAGAAACAATCTAATCTGACCTCTTGCCTTTTAAAGATGAGGAGATGTTAAGGTATTTCTGTAAATCTAGTAAGTACCAGGGCCAGGACTTAAACCTAGTTCTCCTAATGCCGTGTGCAATAGATGAAAAGGCCCAGCAGCAAGAGTGTGCTGATAAATATTTAACAATCAGATCTTAGGGGGGGGGGGCTAGGAAAATATTCATGACACACTTTCAAGTTTAATCTCATTATTGACATTTTCTTAAGTTTAGACAATAAAAACAATAAATCAAGCCCCAATTTATAGCATTTGCCTATTTCCTAAATGCTCACACTGAAAATTTAGTGATCAGTTTTCACTAGCTGGTTTCAGCATATCCCTGCCCAGAGGTCGGTATTTGTATATCAGTGTCAAGGCAGATGGCAGTGCATCTTGATCAGTGTTATTTCCATTGGTATCAATGATGTTGAGCCATCCAACAGTATCAATGATCGTAGTGACAAGAGTTTTCTTTTCTATCTCTTCAGTAGTATGTTTGGGTGTAGTGTCCAGGACTGCCTCCAAGAGTCTGAGGAACAGTGGTGGTGATTGGGCTCAGTGGGCCTTTGTCTCTCCCCCAGAACTAAATATATGTCTACAATGTGTGTTCACTTTACCTTTGTGAACCTCAGGTTTTTCAACTGCAAGTTGGAGTTGTTGATCTAGAAGGTCCCTTCTAATTCTAAAAGTCAATAAGCCTATATAAAAGACCCTTTCTAATCATTCCTTCTTCTGTGTCCCAGGATTTTTGACACTGGGCTAAAAAAATTTCCCAAATGATCAAAGTTAAAACACATTTTTAAAAGGTTGTTCACACTGGCCCCAGGCAGTGGGGGCAATCTGTTGTCAGTCTATCACATAATTGCTCTATCAGTCTACTTTGGTACAGAAAGCAAAGAGTTTGCAATTCTGAGAAGTTTGCCCAGGTTTCGGGCAAGACACATGACCTATTTAAGTCTCAGTTTTCTAATTTATAAAATGGGGATAATGATTCATGCACCACCTACTTTGAAGATTTGTTGTGAGAAAGGTGTCTTGTAAACCAGAAAGCACTATATAAGTGTAAGTTATTTTTCCTCTAATTAATATAATGTCTTCTGTTAATAAATAAAGAAAAGATAAGTAACTGTTCCCATCTTGGTCAAAGGAGGGGATAGAGGGGGGCATATGATTAAGGAAGACTGCAGTCCATTTGGCCAGCACCCATGACCAACATTTAGGCACAACATGACTTTTTTAATGAAGTTTATTGATAAGATTGGGAGAAAGGGGAAGAAGAACATTCAAGGCTTTAAAACAAGGCACAAAAGCATAGACTACAAGAGAAGGTATCATCCACAAACAGTTATCAGCCTCAGCTTAATTCTGACATCTCACCTAACCCAATTACTCAGAAGGAATATTCATCCTCAATCTGAGATTAGATAGCTACCAGGGAGCCCACTATTGTGCCAAACACTCCATTTGGTGGCAATTACACCTTTGATCCTTTTCGTGGGGTTTTAATTATACCCTCCAAGAGTAATACTGTGTCCAAAAATAAAAAACAACCAAGGAAGAACCCACCCTACTGGGTTCTGGGAAATGGCAGATGTGAGAGGTCAGGTAGTCTCAATGATTCAAATATAGATTATGCTTTTTATAGAAAGGCTTGAGTTCCTGCCCTTTAGCATGCTCCTGGACTTTATCTGTTCTCCACTGTTTGAGATGGATTCAGAGATGGAAAATCTGCCTGAGCAGAAAACAAACCCTGTTGTCAAAAAAAATAATAATGCCATACAATTCACACCCCAAATACACATAATTTTTGGAGAATTCATTACTGTGAATTATCTCCCCTCCATTGGGACAGATAATCTAGGGCTGACACCAATTGGCTCATAATTGTACCCCTTATTTAGAACCAGGATTGGGTGGAAAAGGAGGAAGAGAAGAACAGGCTTCTTTCAGCAGTCTGATAGGGAATAAGGAGTGGTAGGAGTTTCAAGGCATGGAAAAGGAATAATAGAAAAGACCAAGTAGGAAGGGAGACAAAAGATGAACAACCCAACAACACTCCTCCTCCTGCCTTCCCAATTTCACTGAGAAGGAAGTGTAGAGAAAAGAGATCTGCTTTTGATTCATGAGACCTCCATCCTCAGATGGCATAACATGATGAAGGTTGGATCAGAGGCCAGAACAGGAGAAATCACATCTAAGCAAGCTTGAGGATACCAAAAATCTAAGCCACTTTAGAACTTCACTCGGGTATAGGAGCCCTCCTGACTTCCCTGCTCTGAGCTGGAACCCTTCCTAGAACTAGATTCTTGGGTTCCAGAGCCAGAGCTGGCTCCTGCAGATTTGGAAGTAGCATGCATAGCGCTGGACCTGGTGCCAGAGCTATATTCAATTCCGTAGCTGTGTCTGTTGCTGCCATCTCCGGAGCTCTTGCTCCCATAACCAAGGCTTGTTGATGCTGCTCCAGTAGATGAGACACTGCTGGTAACCACAGCTATAAGGAGACAGGAAAGAAGCTCAAGACCTTGAAGAGCCCCATACCAGGTCCCCAGCTATCCATCCTACGCACAAGAATCATCTTCCTCAAGAGTAAGCTGGTCTTCCTTCTCTCTCTCTCCCCCTCTCCCTCCTCTACCAGGGCTCATGACCAAATCCCAGCTCCTCATCCTAGACTTTAAGACCCTCTCATACTTCCCCCACCATCGCCTCCCATCTTGCCTGTGCTCTGGGTGCCCTTTTCCCCCTAGATCTTCCCCAGTGCCATATCTTTGTATACAAAGATACAGGGAGCTCTCATCCCAGACAGGAAAGAGAGTGAGGAGCTCAACAAAATCCTTCCCCTACCCCCAGTGAAGGTTACTTACAGTAGCTCACAGCACTGGACACGTGTCCAGAAAGCCTGCGAGAAGAGAAAAAAACAACACAACTATCAATCATCCTTCTAAGTGAGACTTGGAAAAGAATTCCAGGTTTTGGCAACTTCTGCTATGTTGATGAATTCCAACATGGTTCTAGGCTAGGGTGATGAGTTACAAGGACAGCCATTCTCAACCATGCCTTCCCTGTTGTTGCTTCCCAGACACTTTCTGCTCATCCCACAGTCACCTTGTCCTCCAGGACTACTTTGTCCTTCCTTAACTCATTAGACCATCTAGAGTGTGATTAGCCCCAGGGCATCAAGATTTAGAAGGCACCAACATCAACACATGAACTCATTGAGCAGCATGGAATCACTTCTTTACTAACTAGGAGCTAAGCACT